GGAATAATGGTTTCCTATGACAATATAAGCTGCAACAACATGGTTTAAATCTTCCACAAAAGTATCAGAGTCCCAAGACTAGACTGCAACGCATTGTCAAATGCTTTTGTTTTCATGCACGCCCGAGTGAATGTTTTCTTACACTGTAATAATTCAAAGGCATCTGTTAACTTCTTTATTACCAGTTAGTAAACAGATCTGTTTATTTGCTGATATAGTAACCTCCGTATTACATACAAGTATATTATTTTTTTCCAGATCCACTTCACTTTTTTTTAGTTATTAATTGAGGTTCGTCTGCCTTAGTGTTTCAGGTTAAAGTAAAATAACTGTACTGCTATTACTATTTATACAATAAATATAAAGTCCTGTGGAGTCCTATAGCTCAGCGGTTAGAGCACTCGCCTCGCAAGTGAGAGACCTGGTTTGATTCCCGGCAGGGTGAAAAGTTAGGCAAGTTTCCTTACTCCACACACTTCTGTTTACCTAGCAGTACGTAGGAACCCAGTTGTTAGTTGATTGGCGGATTGCTTTTCCGGGGGTAATAACTCCTTCAAAAAAAATATAGTCAATTCACTTTAAAGTATATTCTGTGAAGCGCTTTGAGACGTCTCAAAGACAGGTTAAGGCACTATTTGAAATGCAAGGATTATTATTATTAGTATAATAATGCTTGCCTTTGATACAATGGCTATCGTGTTGGGAGGACGTTTCAAAGCGCTTCACAGGATTTACTGTGTGCTTTATTCGCAGCCAATTTGAGCACGGAGTTACCTCTACAAACAGCCGTGAAGTGAATGACTAATTTTATCTGGGGGATTGTTGGCCAGGACACTGGGAGAAACTCCCTCTTTATTCAAATAGTGTTATGGAATCTTTAACATCTCATCTAAAGTGCGATATCTATGACAATGCAGCACGTCCCCTCACTGTATTGGAATGGCAGCTTAGACTGTAAGTTCAAAGTCTCAATTTGGGGCTTGGAATCACAACCTTCTGACTCAGCAGCAAGAGTGCTACCAACTATCTCAAATAGTCAACACCTATTTCAAAGAAATGTAGAGTATTTCAACCAGACGTTCTGGCTTATATTTCCCTCCACATCCAAATGTACCCACAAATTCAAATTAAGTGGTTTGTCTTCTGGTTATTTATGGAATGTTGCTGATACAGATCAGTTACCGCGTTTGCCTGTAATAGAGAATTTCCCTTTCGTTTCTAATCAGTTTTATTGTGTAAAGCACTGACCACAGCAAAGTGCTTTTACATTAAAGGCCCTTTAGAAATGCAAGTTGTTTTATTTTAAAGAGGAATCTACACAGCAGTTGGAACAAAATACTCCCGAAGTAAACCACATGAAATGGGAACTGAGGATTGTACTGAAAATAATGTAGTGTTTTACTATGTTTTACTAACCAAGGTTAGCTATGTAGCATTTGTAGGAAGGGTAAAAGATAAAAGTAAAGTAGACAGAAATTTAGTGTGTCTGTGAAACTAAGAGGATTAGTCTGTATCTCAATCCTATCGATTTAGTCTGAATGCTGTCCCTTTAAATGGGGATATTGTGTTTGTCTATTCAATTTGTAGACATATCTGTGACATATCTCACAGATATATCGTGTGACATATACATGTGACATATTTCAATTCTATTTCATGGATTCTTACTGTCCCTACCGGCTTCATCTTGGGGATTAAAATATACTTTCACTATTATCAGTTTTTGCATTAAACCTAGTGAGAAGCCAGCAGGTGGCACAATGGAGTATGTGGTTAATGACTGTAGAACATTGCAAGTTGATCGTGAGATAAATGGTTACCTTGGTTCTGTTTTATTTGTGGTTAAGGAATTTTTGACTTAAAACCAGCTGTGGCTTTAAGCATCTATCGGAAACCTCTGTTTTCCGTGAAATATCACAGTATTGGTTGCAGTTTGCTGGAGGAAAAAAATGGCATCATTGAGACACACATTTGATACTATTTTGAAGTGTTAGCAAGAATTTAATTTTTTACAACCAAAAACTCGATTAAAAGAAATATGTGCATGAAAGAATTTGACAGAACAGACGATTCAGTAGTTTGGGGCAAAACTGATGAACCCACCCTATGTTTTCCACTGAGCTCATGAGCTCACAGTCTAGACTGACATTCCAGTGTAGTACTGGGCGGGAGAGGGTGAGCATATTGTCGAAGGTGTAGTCTTTCAGATGAGTTGTTCAGCCAAGATCTTGTCTGCTGGTTCAGATATGATGTTAAGATTTCATGAAACTATTTGAAAAGAGAAGGAAGTTTCTCTTGGTATCCTGGCCAACAATCCTCCAGATAGAATTGGTCATTCACTCCATGGCTGTTTGTGGAAAGTTGCTGTGTGCAAAATTGACTACCATGTTCAGCTGCAAATACACAACCACAACTTGCATTTATATAGTGTCCTTTATAGGATAATGGCTCAGAATGCTGAAAAGTGCTCACATCAAAGATTTTATGCTGTGGGGCATGAGCAGATCAGCAAAGTGCAATTATCTGTAAGACGTTTCAATGTTATAGGCACCTTATCAAATGCAAGGATTAGTACTATTCTGGTTGATCATAGTATGTATGATCAACCAATTGATATGCCTCAAGATTATTTTAAACTTGGACATCAACTTCCCTTCATTCCTTGCGATGTGTGAACTGCCACTGAAGCATTAAAATTTCAGCCTTATATGTGGAGATTTCTAACGGGATTGCTCAACGAGTGAAACTCCTTCCAGCAACCTGAAGCAGCTCAGTCACCTTCCCACTCCCACCAGCGGGAATTCCACTCTTTAAAGTACATCGCACCGAGTGGAGTTCCCGTGACGCACTTCCATTTTCCTTATTAAGAAATTCCCACGAGAAATGAGCGCATATTAGACCTCTCACACAAGGACAGGGATCAGCCTTCTCACAACTGGGGAAGAAGTACAGAAAGGCTGCCATGCACTCTGAACAGCTATCACTGCCAGGCCTGTTGATTACAGTGCTATTTTTAGCTCTTGCATCCAGTCCTAAAAAGGGGTGGTCGATCCCACTCCTTCTTCTGGTTGCTAAGCATCGCACATGAAATGGGTTTTGCCAATTTTGGTGCAGTTTTCCAGTGACTCATGTCCATCGGGGGAAGTGGCTGCTTGAACATACCATCCAGTGATTTTTACCCCACAGGTTTCGTGCTTAGTATTGAAAAAACCTTGGTCCTGCAGTTTCTGGCTTGTCTGTCCTGTGCTGCCTGAACGCCAGACACTCGGGACCTCTGTGGCTTGAAGATGATGCAGAGTTTTATTTAGTGCAACAAATTGTCCCTCAGCCTTCTGGGAGGATGGTGCTGTCGTAACTTTAATTACAAACAAACTCAAAGATGTTTGAGACATGTTACGAACATAAATCCTAATATGTGCTTTTGCTGATGTTGATCAACATTTAACGCTGTGTTTTGGACGCACATTGCCCAAAATGCAGTATAAATGGGGATGACAAAAAACGCAGATGGCACTGAACACCCATTCCCACTTGGAAGAGGTTGGTTAAAGAGCAGCTTAGAACCTGTGGAGTATTTGTACAGTGTGGCACAGAGGGATTGCTCCCCTGAGACCGGCTCTTAAATAATGTTACAAAAGACACTGAGATTTGATTAAAGCACATATGGAGAACACCCAAATAAGGTGTGTGTGTGTGTGGTTGCTAGGTAGGGCAAGTGCAACAGAGGCGTCAAAATTATTTCCATAACATTGAAAAACCAGTCATGTTTATTCACAAGCTATAACGTAAAGCTGCCACCTCTTAAAGTTAGTTTATTTTTAAACAAACTAAACGCTTCTCAAAACAGTCACCAACTCAGGACAGTCTTTCCAACCTCAACCAAAATCTTAAACTCAGTTCGGTCCTGTCCAGGAGGTTCCTGCTCACCAATTCTCCTTTGCGATTCCCATCTATGGTCTTCTCCTGGCTGACCTACACATTACACTTGTGTTCAGCTCTCCTCTTTAAATAATTGCCAGAGGGACCACTCTTTCACAATGCATCTTATTTTCCAGCCCAGTGCAGCTGGGACACATTATCCCAGTGTCCCACTCCACATGGCTCTATCGTGAGATTTGCTCGCCGCAGTGTAATAATAATAATCCTTGCATTTGATATAGCGCTCTTCACGCCTTCTCGACATCTCAAAGCACTTCACAGAACAGACCGTAAAGTGAATGGACTGTACATCTGTGGGCGAAACGCGGCAGCCAACTGCGCACAGCAGTATTCCACAGTCGTGGATTGAAAATGACCAATTTATTATTGCTTTATTTTGGAGGGATTATTATTAGGCGTGTGGAGTAAGGAAACTTGCCCAAGGTTTCGTCCTGCCTGGAAATGAACCCAGGTGTCTCGCAGCACAACAAGAAACAAGCAAGACAATGGTCTCACAGGAGCCGACACAGCATTATTACTTTGTTTGCTGATACTTCCCCCATATTTGAGGGTTATTTCACTATACAGTAAACTCCCACTTACCAGACTCCGGAATTTAAACCTCACCAGACAAGGCCTGAAACTGAAATGTAATTTTTTTTCCCCGCGGGCCCCAAATTTCCATGGGGGAGTGGGGGGGGGAGAGGGGGCAAACTCCCACTGGCCCAACTCTCCTAGCACATGATAAGCAGCCCACAGCTTCCTGGCTCACCACTCTTTGGTGTCCAGTTTCCGCATGGGTGGGTGAGTGACTACACTTTTGAATGCAGCGGTGGAAATGCATATGCAGTGCATTACCGGCGTTTTCCTTGCTTTCAATAAACGGTAATGCTGCGTTTTGCACAGTGAAAGCCTGTGAGGTGTGCTGTGTTGAAATTTTCTCTCAATAGTGACTAAATCATGTCAAAGAGCCAACTTGCTGTCGGTCACCAGAATCGAATGAAGATTGCACTGCACAGCACTGACATGAGCACGGTGATATTAAAGAAACAGGTACAGCTCACACTCACTTCAACTCAGACTTAGGTCAACCTTGTGTCCTTTATTTCATTTCTGATCATCTCAGCTCTTACATGCTAAACACATTTTAAGTACTTCTGTAGCATAAGCAAGCTCAAACATCACCAGGGGTGGGAAGGGGATTTTCCAGGAAAACATCAAACAATTTGAAATTAAACAATTTAAAGTGACAGTACAAAAATAGGCAGCTTACCCAGTTTTTTTTTAATAGACAGTTGCAAAATAATGCAATACAACTGCTTTATATAAAATAGCTTCTGCTGAAACAAAACTATGGCTATAAAATCAGTTATTCTGTGGATGACTTTAAATTGCATCTTTTAAAACTATGTACAAAGATGCCCTCCCCCCCTCCCCTCATACAGAATTTTTCCAACAGGTGTCTCTGTAAAGGAGCAACTTGCAGCGACCCCTTTAACTTCTTAAATGTGCATCTTCTAGTTGGCAACAGTAGCTAATGTACTTGGTATATAACAAAACTCTGTGAGGATGCAAAAGAAGTTTCAAAAGTAAAACGAAAACAGAGGCTGGGGCACGGATGTCTCTGCTCATCACAAACCTATCCAGTTTCTAGTACTTTTCGTTTTTGTACTTCCATTTCTGGCTTCAAGCCACTGCTGTATAATCGTCCAAGTTAGAAAATTCTGGACCTGCATTAACCCTTTAGGCTACATATCTGTAATACAATGCTGTTTTTTTAAAAAAAATGAAATGGGGGTCTCAGGTGGGTGCAGTAAAAATTGCACAGCACAATTGCCAGGGGTGAGGTTTAAAAACATTTATTTTTTTAAACTGCAGTTAGAATAATGAAACCAATGTTTTGTGTTGTCATTGCTTGCCTGTCAACCTTCTGGAGCAGATTAGAGTGTGTGAAAATGACAGCACAGAGGACAAAAACTGCTGAACTGCTTACTAAAGGCAGATTTCAATAAAAACAAACAATATAGTGAGCGCTGGAGAGGAAGGAGGGGCAACCCTATTGGCATTGTATCCGTGCAGAGTGAAATTAGTGCTGAGATATTTAGCTTTCAGATAGAAGGCCTTTCTGACAAGAAATTTTTACCGCTTTTCCCCTTTTCTTGTCCCACACAGGTATGTGTTCTCCATCTATTAATTGTAATGTTTAATGTCAAATTGAAAAGGGGTAAGATGAAGTGAGATACTTAGGAAACTGAGAGTTCTTTCTGCATACTGTTTCCATAGCCAATTCAACGTTAATCTCCATTCTAACACTAGCTCTCATCTCACTGCAAATGTTCACCTTTACTAGAGTAAAAAAAATCCTATGCTTGTATATGCAGGTTGGAGGCTTTAAGGGGTATGGGGATAGGGCAGTGGGATTGAAAATCCAGCTTGTTCTAAGAACCAGGGCAGACTCGCTGGGCCAAATGGCCTCCTTCTGTGCTGTAAATCACTACGATCCTATGCTCTGTGTTTAATCCCTTTTACTCACCATCCTCGTTAACACTGTGAAAACGAGGAGCGGGCCACACAATACACGCCAAGGAAAGGCACCAATTCATTTTTTTTCCCCGCTGCTAACAGAAAGAACCATACAATGATGGAATGTACTTGATTTCATATCAGTTCAAAAAGCAGAAGACTATAAAAGAATAACAGAACACTCAGGGGTGGGTGAGTGGTGGGGGGGGAATCAAGGGAAGCACTTGGGATTGTGTAGCAGAGCATGCAACAAATCATTTTTTTAATATTTATATATATATATACCAGTGCTACTATATAAAATGCCAACATGTTTCTGCAAAAAGAACCCGGACTTCCATTCAGTGGGAAGCTCTGGCTGATTATAAAAAAACGACAGACAACCTCCATCGGGATTTTGCCCTTCTCCCTATTTGTGCACTGCGACTCGAATGCTGCTGCACATTTTCCCCATGGCTTCGAAGAGCGGGTCAAAGAAGGTGTGAATGCAGATAGAGTAGACTCTGCTGATGAACTGGATTTCAATCATGTAGCTCTTGATGCAGGGCATCACTGCCCAAATGTGGATGAATGTTAAAATGGCAAAGTAAATTCCCCAAATAATTGCTAGAGGTATCCCTAAGATCGCTGAGAGAAGACGGTAGCACCAGTATTTAGACACTGTGAAGGTAGTAAAGCTAGCTTTCCAAACGCCATCAAAGCTGTACGTTCCCTCTGGTTCCGCAATCACATCCTCAAAATCCACCTAGAACAGAAAAGCAAAATGCTCCACGTTACCTTAAGCGGCAAGTTTAGAATCGTTTTTACAAAATAAGTATTAGATTATGCTGAATCGTCCATCTCCGGTATTATACGTAATGGTTCACTTACATATATTCAGTCACTACACTTTATAGTGGAAGTCCCGTTAAGCATTTTTTTATATAAAGAAGATTTGATGACATGATAACATATTACAAATTACATTTATATAGCGCCTGTCATGTCAGGAGGCCATCCCAATATGATCTAAGGTGCTATATCAATTGCAAGGCTAACTGTTGTTATAAACTGATTGGAACAAGATGTTTTTCTCCACCAATTTTGGAGCAGAAGATGGAAAAGGTCACTTTTCAGTTCCCCGGTCGAGAGGGTAGTGTTGGTAGAAATATCACCTGGGTCTAGATTTACTCTTTTTTCGTAGCATTTCAGAGAGGTTAGAATTTGGTAAATTGTTGGATTAAGCTTCAACTTTGAAGCTGGATTCCTGTCGTTCTTATAAAAACTTACACAATGTGAAGACTGAATCCAACAATTTACCAAAATCTGCAAGCTCCAAAAATACTAAAAAAAAGGGTAAATATAGGTGTCAGATGCTTTTAGCTTTTGCAGGTAAAGGAACAAAGCAATCAGTGCAGACCTGGTTTTGACACACACCACACACCCACCTCTAACCCTCACCCCTTCTCCATTTCCAGAGTTTGCTTATGGCAAAAGAATCAACTTTGCCTTCCCTTGACATCAGTGCTTAATTTATGCTTGTTTTAAAGGAGCAAGTTCCTTTGCACTTCTGTAATTGTCGGTACATTTTCTGACCTTGGCAAACAAGTGGGTTTATTCTCCACTGGTTCAGAACAATGTGCTAATCTTAAAAGGACATCAGATCAAATTAAGACTTCCCAAACACATTGTACATAGGACTCTTACACTTGGCAAACATGAGGCTTTCAGACAATCCTCTTAGCACGATTAGTTAACCCGATTCACTTTCCGGCTTCAAATGGCATTTGAATACACATATGGTATTGTATGGCACTGCATCCATATACTAGTGGATATACAGTGGGGACTGGGCTTTAGTGGTCTCCATTGCTCAAGTCCACCACCTCTGAAGCATTTGCTGATGATTTTTCATGCTTTACTTCACAATGATATAAGAAACAGGTGACCAGACTGTTTCAGGTAGTTATCAAAAGCACGAGTCAGGGAACCTGAAGAATATAAGCTACAGCTAAGTAATAGCAGATTTCTATTGTCCTCCTGATATATGAAGGGCAGGAGACTCACAAATAAAATCTTAGGGTATGCTTGACAGCTCTTAAAAAAAGGGACAACTTTCAAGCTGAAACTTTGAAAGCAATTGTGTAAGAAGAAATAGAGAGCAGATGTATCATCTGTATGATTCGTATTATCATTAATTCATTCACTATTTATTAGGACTCGATTTAGAATACAACTGAATGTCAGGGAAAGTGCCACAGTTTGGGACATATTCATTTTGTTTTAGTTTTGTTGCCCCCAATACTCCTGTATCAAGTTGGTTTTATTCTTTTAACTTCATTGTATGACCAATATTGTCTTGTTAGCAATGAGCCCTTAAATAATAACATTAATGATCCTTGCATTTGACACTGCACCTTATCACATCATTGAGTCATCTCAACGAGCTTCACAGGATATATTGTAAAGTTGATTGACTGTATAGTTTGTGGATGAAACGCAGCAGCCAATTTGCGCGCAGCAGTGTCCCACAAACAGTCGTGGATTAAGCGACCTTTTTTTTTAAAAAAAGGTATTACTCCCGGAAAAGCGATCCGCCAATCGACTAATAATCGGCTTCTTACTTACTGCTAGGTAAACAGAGGCGTGTGGAGTAAGGAAACCTGCCCAAGGTTCAACTCGATTAAATGCACACAGAACGGTATCACCAGCAAGCTAACACTGAATAACAGCAGGTTTGTTTCTGCCACAATCCCATCTTGCTGGAGGAGGAAGTCCAGGAGATTCACAAGTGTGGTGAAGCATCCAATATATGTATCAACAGAGTGTGGTGTTAACATGAACAGCATCACATAACACATCTCTAAACTAGTTATGACATTGATGGTCTAGCCTCCTTTGAACACCTCCTTTGTTACAAAATTCAGATTAAAAAGAATTACAACAATTTGCATTCTTTATTGTGCCTTTCACACAGTATAATGTCTTGGAGCGCTGAATTAGGTGTGAACAAAAATGTTTAAAGCATTATAATTGGTGTGGAGAATGCAAATCTGACACTTGACTGTGCCATGTGGAAGGCTAGTGCCATCCAGATGCAGGGTTGACGAAGGAATTAGCTTAAATCTAATGAGACAGAACGTAGGTTCATAGTGAAGTATAACAGCAGATTGTGGCGTGGGAAACAGCAATAACTCAGAACACTGGAACACTCTTATATGCTGTCAATCAGAATATCCTCAGCAACCTCCCCCTCCCAGTCATATCAGACTGCAGAAGCACAGTTAATTTTAAGGATAGCAGATGCTATTTTTCTGTAAAATAATATTTAAACCTTTTTGGTGCATTACTTGGTCTCCACAAGTACTGTATTACTTTTGAACACAGTCAATAGCAATGAACGTTTCCACCAACTATGGGAAAAGTCTCAGAGAAGAGCCAGGATCCAGTCACTATGTGACATTTCTAAGTATGTTGACACACAGTAGATTTTTGTTGCAGCACTTCATTTTCTTTCTTCTATGCCCAACGCTTCTGGCATTTAGTACTTCACCACGAAGCAATAAGCAACAGGCAGGAAAACAGGTTCTCAGGGAGTTTGTCAAACAACGAACAAGGAGTTGTCATCGACATGCGACTGCACTATGCTACCAAGTAAATTGTATCTGAAAATGCCCAAAACAACCAACACAAATTTACGTTTATATCGTATCTTTCATGTCGGGAGGATACCCCCAAGGCACTTAACAACCCTGGTTGATACCTGACCTGGGGCTTGCAGCCGAGGGGAGGGTGGGACAGGGAAAAATACCCGAAAAAGCATGGTCAAAGAGGTAGGTCTTGAGACAGATCTTGAAATTGCTGAGAGGTGGGCAAGTCAGATAGACTCCGGGATAGAGTTCCCGAGAATAATGGCAGATAAGCTTGAAAGCCTGGCCACTGACAGTGGAGTGGGTAGGGCAGGGTTATGAACCAGGATAGTGCCTGCTGCGCAAAGGGATCGGTCGGGCTGGTACAATTTGAGGAGGTCACAGAGGTAGGGTGGGGCAAGAGCATGGAGCGATCATGAGTGATTCCTGGGTTGCCTGAGCAACAAAATTGGAACTGAAAGGTGCTGGGTTTGAATTTCATCAATAAGTCCATTCAGCCTTTTGAGGGTGATAACATGAGGACCAAGTACAATACAAAATTACATTTGTAGGACCCGTGCTGGGTGTCAAAATTGGGGAAGGTGGAGGGTAGAAAGATGGCCGAAGGCTTGGTTGAAGAGGAGAGTTTTGTGATGCGCCTTGAAGGAGGCAAGTGAGGAATATGGCACGGAGTTCCATAGGGTGGTGCAGAGGCTGAAGGCCCGGCCGCCGATGGAGCGGACAGGTGATATGGGATCAGCAGATTGCAAAGGTAGGAAGGGGGCAAGATAGTGGAGGGTCTTGAGGGCAACAAAGAGAATTTTTAACTCTATCCTTTGGGGATGGGAAGCCAGTGGAGGCTGGCGATGGTGGAGTGATGGGGGTCACGGAGCCTGGTGCGAGAGAGGCCACGAGCTGCAGAGTTCTGGAATGTTCTGCAGCTTGTGGAGGGAAGAGTATGGAAGGCCGACAAGCAGGGAGTCTCCCTCCAAAGTATGTACCTTTGGAGGAAGAAGGAAAGGTGGGAGGCAAACAGGGTCTCCCTGGAGCTATAATGGGAAACACAAGTTCAGTTCAATAGCTGATGTCGGTTGGCATTGAAACGTAACAAACCTGATTTTGTTCTGCTCCTCACTGCTAGCAACAGCCGGTGCACTGGGGGCTAAGATCATGTTTAAACACGGAGGAAATACCAACAACGACGGTGTCAAATCTGCTAAGTGGCGATGGTGCAGTAGAACTACTGGTCCACCTCCCATTTTACCAGCATCGAATGGGTTGACACAGGCCACCAGAGCTGAAATATTTGCATTCTCCCTGCACACACTGAGGAAGTAAAGACTTCTCTCTCCTTCTGGGCACGGCTGGAGTTGTACTTAATATAGCAGCCATGTGTTCAGAAGGTTCTTGACAACAAAGAGACACATATTCAGCCTCCACTTACATGAATGGCCTTCTGTTCTATTCCTAAAGGAATGTATAACACTGGAAAAGAACATTGAGGTTCAATTGGCCAATGCCTTTCATCAAATACCATTGCTTACTGTCTTGTCTGTCTTACCTCCACTACCTCCCTGGGCAAACTGATGCATATTATCACCATCCTTTGTGAAAAGCAGTCTGACGTAATAATAATACTACTACTACTAATAATAATCCTTAAACATCGGAAGGACATCTCAAAACCCTTCACAGGATTTACTGTGAAATGGAGTGACTGAATTTTGTAGGCAAATATAGCAGTTTGTTTAAACTGTTTGTTCATGTTCTCTCCGTTCATGAGATTGTCACACTTTGTTGCAGACATCCTGACTACATTAAACACATTATTAGAGTCTAGCTTACCTATAACTTTTATGATCCAGAAACTTCAGTAAAATCACCCCTTAAATCATATTTCCTCCTGTCTGTACATTCCTAGGTTACATTGTCCTTAGTAGCTATCCAATCCAGTATATGAATTTGGTTATTTTTCAGTTCAATGTCTACAATTGGCGGATGTTGCTATGTTAGCACATTTGCTGGAATTGTACACATTCCAGGGGGGCCAGAGCTGTGCTATATACCATTATGCACAAAGATTTTATTTATCAAACATTACATCCTAAATCTTATTAATTCTCCTTACCACTGCCAC